ACTACAGAAGTCTAAGTCACGGGACCAGCAAATAACTCTCGCTTATAGAGGTTTCTCGCTTATCCAGTTCTCTCTTATCCAGGTTCGACTGTATAATAAAAAAAAATTAATTTATATTTGCAAACATGTAATAATCCCCAACTTTTAACTTTTAATCAAATTAATGTTTACAACGCAGAATAAACGCAAACCTATAACGAAATAAAATTTGACACTGCGAGGAATCGAACCCACGACCTACGGACTTCTAGCCTAACAATCTAACCACTACCCTATCAAAGCTACAGGATAATAAATTTTAATTTTTTACACCTTTTACACTTACAATTAATAAAGAGCGTTTAACTGCGTAATTAAGGGCCGATTTCACCAACACCGATTAAAAGTTAATCAATGATTAAATCCTCAATTAACCAATCAGAAGCCTTTAAACTGTCTTTAATCATTGATTAACTTTTAATTGGAAGTTGGTGAAACTGGGTCTAAGTTAAATTATTATTTAATTGAACTAAATTCAAAAAAACCAAATAAGTAAATTACCTAATAAATTTCCATAAATTACCTCTAAATTATCCATAAATTACCATAAATTACCGACATTAAATATTTTAGGTTTAATTTGTGTTTTACATATTTTAATAAATTATCGTTTAAATTTCAATAAATTACCGCAAAAATTTCCATAAATTACCATAAATTACTAACGTTAAATTTTTTAGGTAAAAATTTATTGTCAAAATTTTCATAAATTTCCATAAATTACCGATGTTAATTTTTTTAGTTCTCGTTTGTGTTTTACATTGTTTTATAAACTATCGTCAAAATGTTGATAGATTACCGCATAAATTTCCATAAATTACCGTAAAATTTCCATAAATGACTGAAATCCAAAATTTTAATGATAATTTTTGCTTTACAAATCTTTACGAATTATTGCGAAAATTTCTATAAATTACCGCATAAATTTCCATTAATTAGTTCCTAACTGACTATTGTAAGTTTACCGTGTTAGCAATACTGGCACAGTACTGGCATAGTACTGGCATACCAGTCTTAAAGGGCAGTACTGGCATAGTACAGAAATTTTAATGAAGCCAGTACTGAACCAGTACTGGCAAGCCAACTGCTGACATGCCAGTACTGGTGCAATACTGCGCCAGTTGTGAATACTGGCATTTGACAGAAATTTTTGCTTGGGTAAAGCTAATCTTATTATACTTTTGATATATCTGACATGCGACGTCAGACGGTTGGAGAGGGCAAGTAGGAGGAGCCAAATCGCTTGTTGCAGCTGAATCACCGCCGAAAGCGGTGAAACTCTTTGCAATAATAGCAAAACGATGTCTCTTACTCCGGGCGCATAACGTCTTTGCGATTAGACTATTAAGTTCTTAGTATGAAAGTAAGTTCATCATACGTATTTTCCATAGAGATACTTAATGCTTAAAATGCATATATTCTTGCGTTTATAGGTAAGCAAACGCAACTGCAAAAAGAGTATAAAGTAATCTCATGCTTTAAAAGCTAGATTTTTCTTTCCGTGTGGTTATACCCAAAATAACAACGAAAGTTTCAATTCCATGATTTGGGCCCTCGCGCCAAAAGTCACGTCTAGTGGTGCTAGGATTGTGGAAATCGCAGCAAATATTGCCAGCAGTATTTTCAACGACGGATATACAAACGTCCTTTTAATAATGCAATTATTAAATTTAAAAATAGGGCCGAATGCTCTGCAAATGTGCGAAAATTGTGACGCGACAAGGATCACTATCGCCAATCTGAGAGCGCAGGAGTCTACAAAAGAGGCGAGAAAACTTAAACGAGCCAAACAAAAAGAATCCGAGGACATTCTGGCAATTCTTGGCGATGAATATTATGGGCCTGGTATCGCTGATTAATTGGTAAGTTGAAAATTTCCGAGTTTTAATACCTTAAAGTACTCTTTGATCTTCTTTTGCGTTTTTCTCAAAACTACATTTTTTGGAGCGGTGTACATGATTTCTCAGAAACTACTCGACCGATTCTCTTCAAAATTTGTACACAGCTTCTCTATAACATTCTCTAAGGCATGACGTAGGATTTTTTCGAAATAATGTTTTTTGAAAAAGTTATACATTTTTAAAACAGAAATTTCATACCCAAAAAAAAATTTTTTTTTTCAAAGTGCTCCCATTTGCTCAAAAAATTTTTTTTTTAAAACGGCTACGTCATGCTCTAGGTAATTTAATATAGTTTTAAAAAAAATTTTGTTTTTGGGTTTCAGATAAAAATTGTGCTGTCCAGCATGTACACCGCCCGGCCGTGCGCTAAGGAAAGTGGGTTGCGAGACTCGCTGTATCTTCGCCATTTTTCAATATTTTTTCTTCTATTAAGAATTTTTTTTGAGTAAAATATATGTACTTTGATATAATAAATATTAAAAAGTTGTATTTTTAATAGTTTTGTCAAAATTAATTCTTGAAATACCCTCCAATTTTCAAGCGTTCAGGGTGGTGTAACCCCTTAAATACGCAACTTTTTTTCAAATGGACTCAAAAAAAGTTATGATCAATTTTCCGAGCATATCGCTTTTGTCAACAAAAAAAATGTGTCCAGTTGTATGACACTTCACAGAAAAAAGTCTTAAATCTGTGAAGGACTAATTTTAAAATCAGGCTTAATTATAACCTCTAACGATATTTTAGCCTCATAATTAACTTAAGAGTATTATTAACACGCCTTAATCTTAAAGCAATACATATTTATGACTTATTTTTATATGTAAGTCTTAAATGTAGTCTCAGCGAGACAAGTATAAACTTTAAGAACTCAACAGATAAAATGAAGTCGAAATCTAGACTGTCTCACAACTAGACACACTCCCCTACTAATTCATTTATTTAAAAAGACAATTGTTAAAGCTATTAACAATCGTATTATCAAAAATAAGATAATTAATTATAAAATAATTAAAGTTATTTATTAATAAACCGAGTAATTTTACTGATAAAATTAGTAAACTTTATTAATGAATTTACTTAACGCTTCTTATACAAAATTAATAAAGTTTACTAGTAAAATTTAATAATTTTACTACATTATCATTGTACATTGATTTGATTTGATTTGATTTAAAACAATTTGATTTGTTAATGTTAGATATGAATTAATTATTTTTAATTAATAAATAAAACAATAACTTTGTTATAAAAAATTCAATAATGTAGATATTTAACTTAATCTCAATTTATTGAACATTGCTAAAATTTAAATAATTCATCCTTAGATAACGTTATACTCTTCGTTAAATAAAATAAAATAAGTTTATTAATTTAAATAAAGGTAGTGGATTCTTTTTTTTAAGTCCACTATTATTCAGTGTCTCCGGATAGACGGTATTTATGAAGACTGAAATGTAAAGGATAACAAAAAATACACTCAACAAAAAAAACACATATATGCAAGTATAATAACATTAAGTTTATTCCATATTAATAAATTGTTTAATGAATTTAACAATACTTTTTCTATACAAAAGATTGATCTCTTAAAACTTTATGTATTTGAATTTATTTTACAATACAATTTGTTTCCTTCCCATTATTTAAATTTACTTTACATTAGTTTTATTCCCAGATAATAAAACAACTTGATTATCAATTAATAAATTAACGTTCATTACAAAGTGTCTCTTTAATTAAAAGTGTATAATAATAGTGTATTTGTGTATTTATTTAATATATATATATATAAGTATAAATAGTAATAACTCGACTCACCAAGTCTATGTTTATTTTAGTTTGCTAATAAGAAAATATTGAGTCAGGTGTTATATGATTCACACCTGTTATAAAGATAGAAACCCTTTTTGTCTTGTAAATTCCTTTTCCTTGATCATATGTTGAAATTATTCCTCAATGAATTATAATTTTTTCACATGAAATTCCTTGATGATATTATGTTCTTTAGTTTAATTTTTTAAAAGCCTTAACTCAAAACTTAATTTTCGGGGTCACCGAACTTAAATCTGAATTAAGTTTAATAAACACAAAATATATATATTTTAATCAATCAGAAAATTCTTCCGAACACTGTTTTATAATTCACTACTTTAAATTTACTTTTGTTTTTAAATATAATAACAAAAATGATTAATAATTATAAAATTTATACTAAAATTATTTGAAAGTTGGACACTATACTCAAAATAAGAAAAACTCCACCTTCGGAGTTTAATACAAAATTAAATTAAACTGTCAATTCCTGAGAGCAACAAAGTAAATATACACAACCTTGTTGCGGGAGGAACCAAGTCAAACTCAATCGTTAATCGGCTCAAGTCTTGGATCACACCCTGAATTTCGTTAAATTTTTAATAGTGGGGATACTATTACACATAGCTCATTGAACTTCTTGTTGCGAGGCTAGCTTTTCGCAAGCTTGCAAATTCCTGAGGTGGCGTGATATGAGTTCAATGATCTTTTTCCTCACTATTCCATATGTTGGTGTGTGTTGTTTCTTAATAATTGTAAAATACATTCAAAAGTCTTTTATTAAATTGATTATTTTGAAATAAAAGAACCTCAATTTGCAACATGTGTGTTGTCCAATACTTTCGAAACAATTTCAAAATATAAATTTATTTATTGTTAGCAAAAGGAAAATGAACAAAATAAATAGGTAGCTATCTATTTAGAAAACTACATAATCAATTTGATGTGTCATAGGTGTATCGACCTGTTACCATTTTATACAATATTCTTAATTCTAATTACAGAATTCCCAATTTTAAATGAATCTATATAATTTAAATATAATTTTTAATTAATAAAAAAAATTAAAAATAGTTATGAAGTCATACGTAACACATTTGAAAAGAATTTTAAAAAGCTGATATTTTAAGCTTTTTGTAGATGTACGTTGAGATTTCAAAAATATTTTTAAAAACGCAGCGACTTGAGAAATAGGTCAAATCTTACTCTGGTGAATTTAGAGAATAGTAGATCATTTTTTTTGCTAACCTTATAAGAGCCAATCGGGGATTCGATCCATCATCAACATCAGAGGGCCACACGTGACCGACTTGAAATTGCGATCCTGGTCTCCAAACCAGTCTTTGAATGGTGTTCCTGGGCCTCTCGGGCCTTATTCTCTCGCATGAATTAAGCCCCATTAATTGCGATGTTCTTCTGCTCATTTTTGACCCTTTTTTACTGGCCTATTCAATTATTCTTTAATTTTCGCTTCCTGACTATTAAATTTTTTCTTTTTTATTATTTATTTTTTAGACTTTGAATTCTTTTTTTCTTTCTTTCTTTTCTTACTTCCTGTCCCTCGAGTACGTATCGCACCTACAGCTTCAGGGCATTGGCCCACTTCCCCATAAACAACTCACCGCGGATTATTCGCATAACACGTGCCACCTTTCTTTTTTCACAGAGAGATAGAGCGAGAGAGAGGCTATATTTTTCTTCCGTAATCTCGATGGTATGAATCCTTTTTTTAATATAGTTTCATCTCTTGTCACTATTTCTAAAAATGAATTCTAAGTAATTTTATTTCTAGTTTTTGCAATTTTTTTTAATCTATTTTTATTTTATTTGTGTAACTTTCCTTTAATTTGCTTATTTTATTGCGTCTAGTTTAAAAAATTCAAATCTCGGGTCAAGTTTTCAACGGGGAGAGAAGTTTATAAAAATTCTACACTCTTAGCACTTGTTGTCAAAATAAAAAATTCATTTTCTTTCACTCTCTCGTTCGCACTTCACTTTTATTTTGCACTTTTTCGTTTTCTTGCAAGATAACTGTTTTTACTTGAGATAAAAAGTACACGAAATTGTTTTCTTCTTGTTATTTCTTAAACTCTCAACATTTAGTGCTTTTAAGACATCGATGATTGTTGTTTTTTTACTGAACCACTAATACCATTTTTGTAATTCTTTTTTTTAAGGGTAGAAGTTGATTTTTTTTTGTGATTCAAAATTGGTATTGATAATAATTATCGTTTGAGATTATTTTCCATTTTTAAGAAGTTATTATCAGCTATCAAAACGATCTCTTGTATATGGGTTTTGAAATTTTGTTTCTTTTTAAAAGTTACTTAAGAATAATTAATCTACGAATGTTGGCGAATTCCGGGCATGATCATCACGAGCGGAAGTTTTATAATTGTTTGACGGAAGCGCGACTTCCGGAGTAGCTCGTCTTGTAACTTAGAAGAGGAAACACACCGCGAGACGCTGACTTAAATCTCGTTGATAAATTACACAAACACAAGGCTGAATCGCGGAAACTGAGATTTAGGGGAAAATTAATCGCGGAAAGATGCTAATCAAGTCCACAGTTTGATCAATTGTAAAACTATGCAATCTCTTTTTTCTAAATCAAATTTTTATCTTTACTTTTTTATTTCTTTATTCTTTAGTATCTTCATTTCTTCTAGTTCCTTTTCATTTCTTACAATTCTTTGTCCTCTTCGAAATCTACAAACAAATGTGACGCTTTTTGGAAAATTTTGCTAGAACGGAAGAATCCCCTTATTCTCAACCAGTAGCAAAGAGTAATTCTGTCAAAAAGCAACAATGTTTAAACTGCAAATTGATAAAGAGTAATATCAATTTTATGAATAAGGAAAGAAATTTCAAAAAATATTTTTCGAAAATTGATACAGGTATTAATTGAGGTATTAAATTATAAAACGTTTTGTTTCGTTTAACAAAAATATATTTGGGCAATTATATTCCATGGATGAATTTTTTTACGATCCTCGTGAAATTTTTCTTCGACGTTCAACAGCGCTTGTAACAGAATTTTCAATAATTAATTGACACTTGATCCTTGCACTGAACTTGCACGCGTAACAAAATAATGATTTGTAGATAAAGTTAGACCTCGTTAAATTTTCCACGTTTATTAACGAGACGTATTTCGACATGTCGACTTTAAAAACCGAAAATCAGCGGCAAATTGTGAGATAAACTGAAAGAGACTCGAAGGAAATGGGTCCGAGTGATAGGTACGATGAGTAGGGAGATGGGACATGATGGGCCTTAGTTGCGGTGAAATTTTAAGAGAGGGGGGGGATTGTGTAAAACTTGTTGGATCAGGTGGAAGGGTGAGGAGAATTGTGATGCGTGAGAGAAAAAAAGAGAGAAAGAGGGATAGATATATTATGGGAGAGGACAAGAGATTATAGTGAAGAGGATACATTGCATCGTCAGGCTCTCTCGGAGTGTCTGCTGGAGATGCTGAAGTCGACCTACTGTCCTGCATTCCATGTGAAGTGGTCACACAAACGTGTGTGTAGTAGAACGCAATGACACGCACGTCTGCTCGAGACTGTAGGTGTCCTTCGCAATTACTGCGCTTTGGAATTTTAGTCATGGCATTCAATTGATCATGAGAGAAATTTTGATTTCCTTTGATATATTAATTTATGCATTTCATTTTTATTCGGCTACTTTCATAAACATATTTATCAAATATTATAATTTTAGTTATATACTGTTTCCTCTAACATTGTTTTACCACAATTTTTCAATCTCGATTTTTGGGCATATCTTTTTTTTACCTTAGGAATTCAAAAATCACATTTATAAAAAATGTGATTCTGCAGGTGTGTGTGTGCAAACATTTCAATTTCATAAATTCCTTGATTTTATGAAGCTAGCTGTAAGGATGATTTTTTTTAAATTTTAGGTTTCACGTGTGGACATAAAATGAGAGTACTTTGAGCAAGATTAACTCTCTTTTATTTTTGCATTTTAAAAATCAGACCGCTTCTTTTGACCACTTATTGGTACGCATGATTATTTTTTTCAAATATTGCATACTTATTTCTGAAGTATTTATCTACAAAATGAGACCAATTTTATTAATTTTGACCTCTCCAAAGCTTCAAAAAATGAATTAAAAGTTCATATGTTTTACATGGAGGGAGCACACAATGCATGTTTTGGATTTGTTTAATAATTATTTATATGATAACTAATCGTCGGATTTTGAAATAAAACTACCAAAGTATTCAATCAGATGAAACAAATGCATAAAAAAACATTACATTTCTTGACCGCACCAAACCAGTAAACCTATCTCACAGAAAAAATCAAAAAATATTTTTAGAATATTGATAACTATTAATTAATTATAACCTCTTTAAATACTTTTATTATTAATGTAATAAGTATATTCAAACTGAAAAGCATAAAATTTTGATAGGTTATATTTCAGCATGTAAAAATAAGCAATGTTGCAAACTTTTTAAATTAAAGATGACGGTTACCAAGGAAGCTACGGAGTTTCAGACAAAATGAAACACAGAGATTTAGTCACTGAATTTAAAAATATTAAACACAGTTTATTAAGAATGAATAAAAATAATTTGATTTAAAATTTAACAATTTGAGATTCGCGCAGCATACTGCCTTTAAAATACACACTCATTTAAAACTCAACTCGACCGACGCTTATAACAATTCGCAAAGCTTGGCTCGCGATACGACCGACCAAACTCTCTGCTTTACACAAAGGCTCTGCCCGCCAAGGACTACCAAACTTATTTTTCCCTCGCTTATCAGTAATAGATCCCGCGTAAACTAAATTTCCCAATTCCGAAAATAAACTAGGAACACCGGAAGTATAAAATACATTTACTACGAAAATTTAAATTCTAACAGGAATGTTTTTTGTCTAATGTGATTTATTCCTTAATTTATAAAACAATTTATAATATAGACTTACTGTAAACATTAGTCATAAAGAATTTAAAATTCGCTTTTGGTAATTGTTATAAACAAATAAGTGGAAGATTATAGTTTCATCATGGAGAAAGCAATTCAGAAAATTTTCTGAGAAGGCTCAAGAAGCAAGAAAATTGAGAAACCATTACTTTCAGAAGCAAAAGCTTTGCTTATTGCTTGAGAAGTCAACAATCAATTTTTTAAATCCTGTTTACGAAACTAATTTTTTCGTTCGAAAAGCTCAAAATAGTTTTCTTGTGAACTAATACTTGTTAAAACAATTATTAGAGAAGTTTTGTGTAGCAGCAATCAATAATAATAATAAAGTTTTTCAATTTAAACAAAAAATGGTAAAGATAAGAAGTTTTTACATTCACAAAAGTCTAAATAGTATATTTGTTAACTTATAATTGTTTAAATAATTATTAGATTGGTACTAATTAATCACTGTTGCAAAACATTATAAAATAAGTTCTTACATACACGTAACACTGAAGAAACAAACTTTTGAAGTTAATAAATGTCGAAACAATGAATTTGTTAATTAAGATTTGTTTAAACAATTATGAAATATCCTCACAATGTAAGTATATAAATTCATGCTTATAATATAATAATTAGCAGTTTATTCTGATCAAAAAATAATATTTTTGTTAATCTCAAAGTCAATAACGTTATAATTGTTTATTAATTGTTATTAATTTTATAAGTAACAAATGGATTTTTGAAACAATACTTTGTAGGCTTGATCTATAGTCAATTTGGTTAAATTATGTTCAAAAAATTTCAAACAATTTTTATGAAAATAAATAATATTCTAATTTCTACAATTAAAAAATACAGCTGTGGGTTTAAATATGTTTTCATCTACTTCTCGCAAATCAGGAATTGTTACACGTAACAAACCCTGGTTCGATGAAGATTGCCGTAAAATGAAAAAATGCACTCGTTCGTTGTACCATTTATATAAGAAGGCAGGCTTTGACGTTAACGCAGGTGATTCTTATAGAGCAGCGGAAGTATCTTACAAACGAATGATTGTTTCAAAAAAAAGATTGTACGATAGATTTCATACAGAAGAGCTGACCGCGGCTAGATGCTCCTCGAGGTTCTGGTCTTTACACTGAGAAAACTGGAGTATTGGACTAAACATCTGGAGGGACAAATCGTTGATATTTGAGAGTTAGCTATTGGATAACAATCTAAATGTTCAAATACACCATTGACAGATATTCGTGCCATTTCTCTTGGAGGGAAAATGAGTTTATAACAGAGGGACAAATTCACCATCTTGAGAAATCCCTTCCTTATCCGGCGCGAAATGAATAAATGGCAACCTAACCCCTAAATTAAATACATAAAATGTCAGAAAAATAATTTCGCGCGCATCAGATCGTACACATTTTCTGCGCAACTTTTAACCCTCAGATATAATGGGAGAGAATATACAAGTAGATTTCCATTATCAATTAAAAATTTATTTTAGAAGGACTATTTAACTCTCTTCATAAGCAAAGGAAACATACACTTTTTGAACCTCTGAATTTGACTCTCCAGTTTTCTCAGTGTAATTAATAAATTCCGTCGCTTTCCGAAACCTTATATTATTACCCAATGGGAAATGCCAGTGTAGTGCCGATGTTCACCACTGGCTTAGTACTCAGACGATTGTTCGGCGTAGTCTAGCCGAGCCTCGACAATTAGTGCTGGCGCAGTACAGAATTTTTGTTTCGCCAAAGCTTGGACAAGCCACGGCGGCAAGTGCTGGCTGAGTATAGAAAAACTGTTCACAACGCTCTTTGCCAACATTGCTTTTTTGACATAAACTTGAAAAAAATTATAAAAAAAAGTTTATAAATGTTTATAAATATAAATTTATTGAAAAAATTAATATTTTTTAAATTACCACGTAATTTAAGAATTACGTAAAATGTTAAATGCAATAAGTAAAGTAATTTAATTTTTAAAAATTTAGTTTAATTTATTTTATTCCAATTTATTATTTCTAACGTATCCCTATTTTTTTCTCATCTTTGACTTAATAATTGTATGTCTAAATGATACGACATGTGTCGTTAGCATAGTGGTTAGAGCGTTAGTCTGTTAGTCCGTAGGTCGTAGGTTCGATTCCCCTCGTCAGCAATTTTGTTTATTTTCATAGGTTTGCGATATTTCTAGATTCCAATCGTTAGGTACTAAAATATGAAAATCTAATGCACACTTACTGTAATTGTTTATTATTTAATTTTTAAATGTTATAAACAATTTCTCTCTACTTCATTTACTATATCCATTGTTAGTCTCCATCTTTAATACAATTTCTTTAAGAAGAGAAATATTTTATGAATAATAACTATTTATTAATATTATTTACCATTTTGCTGTTAAATTATTTATAATTATGAATTTACGACTAATTAATAACAATACGGCATTTATTGCTGCAATATTCTCAGCCAGCACTGCTCCAGTGCTGCGCCAGCGCTGTCTGGCAGCATTGACAGACAGTACTTCGGCAGCGCCAGACGGCGTTATCATCCCAGTGCCATGCCACTGCTGGCTCTCAGCCTTGCCGCCAGTGCTGCCAGTGCTGGCGCAGTACTACGCCAGTTGTAAATTTCCCATTGGGTAGCAGCACCACTTGGCAGGAGTATCTCCATGACGCTTTCCCCGCCCCTAAGCCATGTAGTACGTTACTAATGGTTGTGGTATCTCATCCTTTGCTCGGCGGCTGTGTGACTGTGTCCGAGATTTTGGATAGTTTGAAAAAATGTAAAGACGCGAAATCACCGGGGTGTGATGGGGTAGGTTACGATTTTTTAAAGAGGTTTCCGGAAAATTGGTTGATTTTTCTGGAAGATATGTTTAATAAATTTTTATGTAAAGAAGAAGTACCGAAATATTGGGACAAAATTAAAATTTTAATGTTGCATAAGGAGGGTGACGAAACCTCAGTTGATAATTATAGACCAATTGCCTTAATTAACTGTATCGCCAAAGTATTTACACTGATACTCTCACAGAGACTCGCATTCTGGTCCTCGGAGAATCACACCATTCCTGAATTTCAGGCAGGTTTCAGGAGTGTCAGGGGTTGTCTTGAGAACCTGTTTACTCTTACGGCCTTATTACAGATCCATCTAAGACTTCCTCGGCAGTCCGTCTACGCGGCATTTATTGATTTTAAAAGTGCTTTCCCGTCCATTTCCCATCATTTACTTTGGCTCCAATTAAAAAATTTAGGATTAACCTCAAAATTTTTAAACATTATTAAGAATTTTTATGAAAATGTTTTTGCCTGCATCTCCTGTGACAATGGTTAGAC